AGACAATTTACATGAGCAGTAAAAGAGACTGAATAACTCCTGGCATAAGATTTATAGGACTAATTCTGGGCTGAGGTTTAATATTCCAACTGCTTTTACTGGCCGTGGTCTGCTTAAGAGCGAATAGAACATTTTGCAAAATTCAGAAATATAGGTACACTTCATTTCTAGGGTGCTGTCTCTTGTATAGAGACTTCATATCCAAAACTATGCAGACAATAGAAAATCAGGATGATCTGACTCCTGAAAGTAGTAAGTAAAGAGCGCACTCCCTACCCACAGCTTCCATCATCCTCTTGGTGTGCAAATTCCTGGAAAAGGTTTTTGTGAATCTTTCTCAACCAACCTAGAGCATCACATGTAGATTCCTGTATTCAGGCTTAAGGGTTGTATGTGTGTGTGTGTGTGGTGTATGTGTGTGCATGAGAGAGAGAGAGTGCACAGTGGGGGCATGTGTATGTGTATATGAGAGAGAGTTCACAGTGGAGAGAGGAAGAAAAGGGGGAGAGAGGGAGACAGAGGGGACTAAGGGAGACAGAGAGGAGGGAAGGGGGTAGGCAGAAGAAAGAAGTAAAAATGAAAAGGAAGAAATACTTATCCAATAACCAGAAATGTCTGCTGATACCTTCCCTTCAAGACTCGTGACATCTTGATAAGATTGGAACCTTTATTTTATGACCCATAAAAACCCCAAAGCTTTCTACCAATGTCTTTTGTTTTCTAAAAATGGGGGACAATTACATTCTCGTGGTTTTCTCTGCCTCTGAAGTCCTGTTGCTGCCGGCTCCACGTCTTAATCCGGAGGTGAAATTCAAGCCCTTCCTCAATTTCAACAAGAGTAATGACAGCAACAACACAGCCCCCACAAGATGTCTGTGAGTGTGCATGCCTTGCACGTTCTATTGACCGTTTGGAGGGGAGCCAGGGGGAGATGGAGAATGGGTTCATAGCATGGAAAAACAATTTCCAGAATATTAGAACAACTGTTTGTAAAATATCCTTCGGCCATGCAGCGGCGTGGAATTTTCATGGCTTCCTCTCCCACCTCTGAGGGCCCATGCTCTCTCTTCTTTTTCTCCCTTCTCACTCTGCTTCCCGCATTTCAAGTTTTGAATTCCACCCTCAATGCTGAGCACAGGGATCCTGAGCTCCCCCATCCCTGACTTCCAAAAGCCACCCCAGGCAACTCTCACAATTCCAAACCCATCATGGCTTATACAGCCCTGGCTTCCCTGGGGGACGGCTGCCCCAGAAAAATATTATATTCATTCCAGTCAAGTGAGAGGTCTGACCTGTCTGGCTGGCATCCAGTCTCGGCAAAACACCGAGAGACAGTCCAGCATAGAAGCCGGCGGGCACTCTGCTCGCTCCGCCTCTCAGTTTCCCTGTCACTCATGCTTCTTACTCTACCCTGCTCCTCAGTGCAATGTACCAGCCTCCTCATTCGCTCCTATTAGCCATTATTTCCTTCTAGAACCTGACACCCCTTCCTGATCCCAGGCAATCCAGCCTAGTCCCAGCATCACACATAAACACATTTCAGCTGCGAAAAGCAACACGGTCTCATTCCAACATGCACTGAAGAACTTTAAAGATAATCAGATTCACAGTCTATTTTCATGCTTCTCAAAAGAATTTTCCATTTCTTTTTCTCCTGTTAGTCTCACCGCCCCTGAATGATCTCTGTGTCTGAAACCACCAGCACCAGTTCTCTGTTGTAACACTTTATTTTCCCGACCCAGGTATCTTCTTTCTAGCCATTTCTCTGTCTCTGTAACACAAAATCCCAGCAATTCAGCAGGCAACAAGAACACATCCCCAAAAGTAGGGAAGGGAAGAATTAGGGCGTTTGCACATTTTCCCACTGGGTTTCTGCTTGTAGCCTCTTTATCTCTTCTTAGTCTCAAAGATTTGGCCTCTTCTCTTGGTCCCAGATTGTCAAGAAGCTTCTGGCGGACTCCTCACCACATGCAACACAAAATTCCATTAAACTCAGGCTCAAATGATTTGCCAAATAAAATTCATCTTTTATTTTCTGAATTGAGAGAACACCAGTCATTCAGAAATACAATGTCCCCTCTTGCAGTGCAAGCAGAGTGCAGTAGGGAGCAAAGGAAGAAAGTAAGCTGCTCAATTAAACTTATTCCACCACTGATGGCCCGCAGGCTAGAGTGGGGGACCTTCCCTAAGTGCTCCTTGACCAGGACTTCCAAACAACTGCGAACTGCTCTGGTGGGTGTGTCCGGTTCCTGGGGCAGACCAGACATTAGAAGCTTGCTGTAGAATCTGCGTGGCCCTAGGACTGTCAAGTGATGAAAGAGGCAAACAAAAAGGCAGAGTCAACTCAAGACAAGTGAGCTGAGTCTTTACACTCCTGTGCTGCTCAGCCTCAAGAGGTGGAAGGAATTCAAAGGGTTTGGGGTGGAGAGCCTGCATGCCCTGATGCATGGCCAAGACGTCCCTATGAGAGCAGAGCTGGGATTTGAACCCATCTAGACTAGCTGCAGCCCCCTCCCCACTATTACCTTTATCTTTCAAGAATAGTATGAGGCAAAGTGGCAGGTTACAAATTCAACAACCAAAAACCTGTTGCATTTTTATATACAGTGAACAAGAAGAAAAGGAAGTTAAGAATTCCATTCACAATCACTTCAAGAAGAATCAGGGCCTCCCCGGTGGCGCAGCGGTTGAGCGCTGGGCTGCGAAGCTGCCTGCAGCCTCTGCAGCGCTGCAGCGCTGGTTCGATTCCCGGCTGCCGGTCGAGGGTCCCACATGGCGCACAGACCTCTCTTGCCGCCCACTGCTCCCCTCAGCAGTGTACTTCGTCGGTCTGCCTGTTCTGTTTCCCTCTCTGGCTCTGGTGAATGCTCTCACCCTCCCGCACTTCTGACTGTACTCAGTGCTTGTATAAATAAATAGATAAATAAATAAATAAATCTTAAAAAAAAAGAGAAGAATCAGATACCTAGGAATTAATCAACTTAACCATGTTGGTGAAGGACTTATACAATGAAAACCACAAGGAGCTATTAAAGGATTTGGATCATGAAAAAAGAGATAGAAAGACATTCCATGCTCATGGGTGGAGACAATCAACACAGTGAAAAATGGCTATTTTGCCAAAAGCTATAAGTCAATTCAATGCAATCCCTATCAAAATACCGTAAGTATTCATCAACAAAATTTAAAAATATTAAAACATATATGGAGCCATAAAAGGCCTCAAATGTCAAAAGGAATCCTAAGGAAAAAGGAGAGAAATGGAGGCACCACATTACCCGGCTTTAACCTCTACCACAAGGGATGAGGGAGGATAAAGAACTAACAGCGACAACACCACACCTGTCTGCAGCCACGCCACCAGCACCTGCTTAACCTGTTATTCTGAGCTCATTTTAAAAAGAAAGAAGTTGAATTAATTGAATCCCACAAAACTAAAGAGCTATGGAGGGAAAAAAAAGAGCCCTAATTTATTTATGCAGATTATACGTCTCTGCATCTGCTCACACAGAGCCCGCAGACATAAGCGTTTATTCAAATAGGCTCACATTTTCGAGTTGTTACAATACCTGCAACTCACAAGATGAGCATAATTATCCTATTTTTACAAACTCTAATATGATTTCAATTGATGTCAGTAAGTTTTGATTGAATTTGCTGCTGATTAGAGTTGATCGTCTCTTCGAACAACAAGAAATTATGTCTCATTCAGTTCGTTAGCAAGACTAGTGTTCGGTTTATGAGCCATAGCACCGATGGCAATTATCAAGGAGAATGGATTTCTAATGTGGACATATTAATTATGTAGATATAGGAAAATTAAAATATTTTGCCCTGCCAATTATTATTATGAAAAATAAACAAGCCATAGACCGTGGAGGAGAAAGTTCAGTTTACGCTGCCAGCTCGTTTTCCCTCCTCCAGGGAGACTATAGACCCCAACAATGTGATGGCACAGACATGAAACAGAGAGGGGCCCTAGTGGTCTAGCTTGGGAGAGAAAATCCCAAAGGAATCTGAAGGTGATCCTCCGCAGAGTTAGGGGAGGGAGAAGATAGACACAGGAAGCAGAAATTAAGATGTCCGTCTCATCTGGAAGCTGAGAAGATTGTGACATGATCAGATGTCACATGGGAAAACTCATCCAGTCATGAGCACCTACTATGTGTTGGACACTGGGGTTAAAGTACTGACTCATGGCCGCCCGCATGAGCCTGCAGCTTAAAGGGAAAGTTAGGTGTTCCCCAGGAAAATACCTAAATGCCTACTTAAATCTAAATGCTCTGAGAAGGGAGGAATCACAACTATAAGAAGGACTGAGAGTCTGAAGCGGGATTTGCTAGATGCCTCTATGAGCCAAGGGCATCCTGTTGTATTTGTGTGTCTTGGTTCACCTTCTGCAACAATTCTGTCCATGGTGTGTGTAAGGAGTGACTATGACTTAGGACTAACCAGCTAAGCCAGGTATAGTGGCCCCCACGTCTAGCAAACCACACAAAGCAAGAAAGTTTATGGGGGCTGTAACCTTGACCCTCCAGGCCAGGGTCAGGAAGCCGGAGGGTCTTTCACATCATGAATGAATGCATTATTCTGGAGAATGAAGAGCTTCTTTTTTTTTTTTTTAAATATTTCAATTTTATTCTGCTTAGTACAAATACTTTCCAATATTTAGAGAAATATTAGCTTCATACAATAAGTATTCCTTGTCAACATCACTTATCACTTATACTTTCCATTTCCCTTATAGTCAAGCTTATTCAGAGAAAAAAACAGAATTATAAGGGCAGGAAACATCTCAAATACTCTTATCTCATAAGTTAGTCAAGATTAAGTATCTACAAACCACATTCAAGAAGTTGAAAACATGAGCTGTGGCAGTTTTCAAGAAACGCTGGTCAAACCTTAATTAGAGCTCCATTAACATCTACCGAGCACCTGCTCTTGCAATGGTGCTTACGGACAAGCAGTTTAACTCTATTTTAAAATACCTAAATATTAAAGACTTATAATACTATTCAAAGTTCTTGCCAGAGCAGTATTTTGAGTTTTCTACTGCTGGGAAATTTGAGGTTCATGTTGTCTTTCTTTCAGTCCCAAAAGCTCCGTTTTGAGTTCTCCAGGCTTTGGTGGAATTTCAGGTATTGTCAGGTCGGGCTGGTAGTACCTGTGCACCACTTGGGCCCTGGCGCACATGGCCAGGAGGCTGGCGGCGACCGTTTTCAGGTAGGTGGGCCAGGGCACGCCCGCAGGCATGGTCGGCGGCTGGACGGGGAGGGAGGGCGGCCAGGTAGATGGTTCCCAGCGCACGACGGACTCGAACTGGCAACAGGCCACCCACCTCCACGGGTTTTGAGTGTGGAGGGGCAGGAGCTTCAGAACTCCGAGACAGCTTCCGGGCAGCCGTCCAGGTGTGCCCGGGAGGAGACAACCGTGCAGCAAAGGCGGCCGGCGGCCGGCCCCTGAAGAGCTTCTTTTTAACCAGGGTTACATTTTTGAGCCAAGCACAACAACAATGAAGAACAGAGACGATGCCTGCCGGGAATGCTGGTGCAGCCCCCACCTCACAGGCTGCACCTTCATCAGGATTGAGAATGCCCAAGTTCAGTGCTTCAGAGGACCCAGAATTGAGTCCTCCTGGATTCACATAAGGCCAATATCAGCGGGACCCAGGAGCAGGCAGCAGAGCACACAACACGGAGGCACTCTCGGCACCCACGGGTTCAGCTCTGTGACAGGGAGAGAGTGGCCAGGTCAAGCAGGGACCCCAGCCCCACTTCTTCTGCAGAGTCTCTCCTCCCAGTCCGCCCCAGTCAGAGCTAATTAGCTATCACGCTTAGAATGACTTATTGTGTGTCAGGCGCTGGCCTAAGCAGTGGGGATGATAATGGGGGACACTGGGGTGACATTGTGAGAACAATGAACGTTATTTACATATAAACACCCAGAGACACATGTACATATGTATATGGGAAGCGCTCACATGTATTACATCTTTTTTTTCATTTCATTTATTCTATTCATTTCATTTATTCATACATTCCCCGTGATACCCACACTATTATCCTCATTTTCATCCTTAGTGAATCCCATTATCCCAATAATAATATTATTGGTATTGTGGCATTGGGAGAACAAATAAATATTACAGACATGTACACAGTGTTAGTCCTTACACATATATGTGTATTTGTATACATGCATGTTATTACAGCACATGTGTATGTTATAATATGATAAAACATTATTATTATTGTTGTTTTCAGGTAAGAGATTAGACACAAAGAGTTAGAAAACTTGTCCCAGATGGTGCAGCTACAAAGCAGCTCCAGCGTCCCGCTCCTGTCTCCGACACACCACGCCACAGGGCAGGCCCGATGCAGTGTTAGATCAGAGGGTAGATCCCCAGTGTGAGCTGCCCTAGTAATTACACCCCAGCCATGGTCACTCACGAGTCCAGATCATGTGGGTAACACCCAAGTTTGGGCCAGCAGAATCCATCCGGAGAGCTTTTGCCTCTCTGGAAACCAGGCTGAGAGGCCCGTGTAGCAAAGGGAGAGAATAAAGACCCGAAGCAGGGAGAAGGCACAGCGGGAGGGAGAAGGAGCAACTCTCAGAGGAGCTCAGCAACTCCCTTCGGTTCCGGAGGAGCCTGATTTGTCCTTCTGTCCCGAGGCCTGGATTGCAGCTCTTCCTGTGGCTCGGGTTCACATCCCTGGTAACCGCACCTCGCAGGCCCGGGAAGGGGTGACTGGGAGTCAGCAGAGGTCCCCTCCAGCCCGCAGCCTGGCGAGGTGCAGCGTGCCCAAAGCCACATTAATTAAGTCTAAACGCTTTTGTCCCCGAGGAACTTCAAGTACAGTGATTAAAATTCCTAGGGCTCATTCGACAGCTTCAGAACATTTGGATGTAATCCAAACTCAGTGAATTCTAGCCTTTGGGGTGTGCCGCCAACAGCACCCCAGGAAGGCAGAGCAGAGCCGGTCCCAGTATTTCTCACCAGCTGTCCCTGATTTTCAGTGGCACTTTGTCCTTTGGACCTTTGTCCACTAGGTACCGACTCATTTTAATCATTGCTCTGGCATTCCCATCACAGAAGGCAAGATGGGCTACGTAGGTCAGAAATCAAGGCGTGTGATTTTCTGCATTTGGTCAGCGTGTGGCTTTTCCCTGCAGGTGGTCTTCACCTAAACTATATCTTAATGCCATTATAGCTCATTCATTCAATTCCTACTAAATTCAGGTGCTGTGCCCAGTGCTGGGGCATGAAGATGAGTCAGCCCCTCGGTGGTCGTCAAGGTGAATGGGCCATCTGCGGGCAGCTCAAGCACAGTGCGCGGCACCGCTGATGGCTGACACGGCCTCTGCTGCCTCTTCCTCCTTAACAGAGCTGCTTTGTTCAATCACCTGCCAGCTGCCATCCATGGGCCCCAGGAGACTGGGCCTGACTGGGGTTTGAGCGGTAGCCCGGGCCTGAACACGCAGCACATGGCCTTCCCAGCTGGTGGATGGATGCAGAAGTAGGCACAGGGCCTCACAGAGGTCACTGAGATGAGAGGGGATCTGCTGTCTCTTTAGGGTCACTGGAGGCAAAGGGGCCATTCTAGTGGCCATGTGTCCAACTTGAAGAAGCCAGAGGCAAGAAGACAGCAGGCAAAAAAGAATCAGAAAAACTCAGCAGAAGCCGCCAATGGGCCAGATCAGCCTCCACCTCCCCAGTGACACAGGTCTTGGTATTTCCTCACCATGTAAGCCAGTTTGAACTGGTCTCCTAGTAGACAAATGAACGGAAACTTAGCAGCAATGGGACTATACACAGAGAGTGTGGAAGGAAGGCTGAAGTGGGGGTACCAGCAGATCCCCACGGGGACAGGGGTTGTGCAAGCAAGTCAGAGGGTGCTTCTTGGGAAGAGATCCTCAGTAGAACTTTAAAGGATGAGAAGGAGCCAACCTGATGAGGGTAGAAACGAGGGAAGGAAGGAATTTCAGACAGAGGGAAGAGCCACGCCAAGCCCCCAAAGGAAGTAGCAGGGGCTCAACATTTCCAGGCCATGAATTATAAGGCAGAACACAGATGGTGAGGCTGGGGCTACAGTGCTAAGCTCGGTGTCGTGTTCCCTGCCCCCACTTACAAGCAGCCACCTGGGACCAGGAGCAGGGTGGAGCCGAGTGGCCAGGTGAAACGCCAAGACACAGAAGGCAGGTGAATTCTGGGACCTCTTGCTCCTCTGGCTTTACTTGTTCCCAGGGACTTGGGGAACTTGGAAGGAGACTCAAGGTGGGTACAGGTAAGACACCTGAAAGAAACATGTGGGTGACTGACACGTGGAAGAGACCATGGCAGCCAGTATCTTGATTTGTACTTTGATTTTGCTCCTTTTGTCCTGACTGTCCCGACTTTTCCACCAGAAGGGGCCTTAGACTTGTGGCAGGCTTTTGAGTCTCAGTGGCCCTGCTTCGGGCCAGCCCTGTTTTGCTGGGTGTTTGCTCACAAGGAGATGGGTGATTTGGGGTATTTGGGGGAGAAACTATTCTTGGGAATATACTTCTTCTCTGCTCACTCTTTGTACACTGATTCTACTAAAGAGCTATCACACTTAGAATCTGCTTCCTTTGCCTTTGTACACACAGGTGGCCAGATTCCTTTCAAGCGTGCACCCCTTAATAGTTTGGCCTCCCCAAGTATCCCACAGTTGCACACTAACAGGGTCATGGGGAATTTGAATACCGTGAAAAGGAGCTGGGACTCCCCTGTGGTGGGGAGAGCTTCGAATGCACGTAGGGCAGCCAGGCCTTAGTCCAACCTGCATTCCAGGCAGGCCCTCTGGTGCCACCGTGGGAAGCGGCACTGGCAAGAGGTGAGGACTTCGCGGCCCATACAACTACTCAGTCTAGCTCTGCAGCTCAAAAGCAGCCAGGGGTGGACGGGGATGAATGGATGTGGCTGTGTTCCAAGGAAACCTTATAGAAATGTGGGCGGACTGACAGATTCTTAGTACTTCATCATCTCAAAAAGAGCACGAATCAAAGAGAATCAGTGCCCTGCTCAAAACTGTCCTGTGATCACAAACTTCCTAAGCCCCCAGGCTCCAGCAGCCTCTGCCTCCCTCATCAGCTCCAGGTCCTGCTGCTTCTACCCTTGCTGACTTCACTCCAGCCACACTGGGCTTCTGCTGCTTCCTGGAGACTCCCAGGCTAGCCACAAACTAGGACCTCAGCACCAGCTGCTCCCCCTTCAGGAATGCTGTTCACCCAGAATGTGGCCCGACTCATTCCGTTAGATTTTCCATGGCTTTATTCAAATACCTCTCTCCAGGGACACCTGTTCTGACCCACTCTGTCTAAAATTGCTCTCACTCCTCTCCCAGCAAGCTCAGTCCTCTACCCCAGATAAAATATTCCCTTCACAGCACTTATTACTGCCTGACATCATATTCCTTTTTTGTTTGTTTGTTTTCTGGTTTCTCATCTGTTTTCTCTCACTGGAATAGAGCTCCATTAGAGCAGATAATTCTGTCTTGCTCACCGTAATATCCCGGCACCTAGAATATTGCCTGGCACATCATTGACAAAAAGTAAGTGTCTATTAAATGACTGAATGAACAAATTTCCGCCCCAAGCACCCAAACAACCCACATGATGTGGGTTTATCGGGAGAGGCCAAAGCCTTGTCTGAAATGGTGATTCTCATTTCTTTCTCGGTTTGTATTTATAGTTCTTATTCAGATTTCTATACATTGATCTCAGCTTTTCTCAGGGGCTCCTGGCATCTGATGACAAGTCCATCCTAAAAAAAAAAATCTGGGATGCTTTATAAGCAGGTGTGTCCTTTGTAACCCCCAGAAATGCCAAGTACCCAAAATCACTGAAAAAAAAACACTACTGCTTTAATGACAAAGGGGATTCTGGGCTTTAATGGGAGAGAGGCGAGGTGCAACACAGAGGTTCAGAGGCGAGAGGGATGCAGGCTGAAGTGGGCAAAGTACACGCTTTGAAGTGAACTCCATGGAGGTGGCCTAATGAGGTTTAAAAATTCCAGCATCATCACCTGCTGGGCCAGAGGAAGGGAACCTCTCCAGAGACCGTCTAGCTCCCTCGCTACTGTAAATGTGCTCATGTTGGTCACCTGGGAGCTTGTTAGCCGCCCAGAACCTCAGGACTCAGGTCCTACACTTCCCCAGTCTGATGATTCCCCTGGCAGGCAGCCAGTCCCCTGTGTGGGATCCTCACCTGGCAGTGACGCGCCTCCCCCACCC